GTCGTGTGGGTGGCCGGTCCCGCGGCGGCCCGGGCCCGGACACGCCCACGGACCAACACACACGCGCGATTGTCGCTAGCCGAGCGCCGCCCTGTGCCGCCGACTTAGTAACGGCACCGCCGCCGCCGTCATATTTACGCGGCCGCACCGGATATTCTATACCAGCATCAGCCACACACCGCTCTATTCGCTTCTTGGCCCTGGCCACGGTCAAACTACCATTGCGCCACCACCGCCACCGACGTACCGCACACACGCACACCCGCGCGCCATCAACGCCGCCACAAGTAAACGGTACACGATATACGTACGTATTTATACATATTTTACTCATGTGATTCAAACAAATCATAATATAATTTATATTATCATCGATATTTATTTGTACATATCGCGATGGCTAGAAAAGTCCAAAAGTTGGACGTCATAACTATTACAGGAAGCAAGTTTTAAAATTTGCAATTATTTTAAATCAAATAATTTTTTGCTTTTCGGCATTAGATAAAACTGATTTAATTTTGTACTTGTATTTTTTTTTCTTTTCATCTTTCTCTCACTTCCAATACTGTACTTCTATATTTTAACGCTATACCTTTATAAATAATCTACATTGTACTTACTATTCATAATGTTATCYAGCACCTAATTTAATGTTTACATTGTACAATATGCCAATAACCTTAGTTGTTGCGGCTTTAATAAAAAAAAAAAACTGATTTATATCTAAAATAAATCAGTTCATAAATTACTAATTTTAATAAGGTCTTAATATTTTTCAGACGTAATTTTAATGTCTATTAAATTTAAATGAGACTCGTTATAGATGACATTTATACCGATAGAATACATTTTTACCATGGCCATCATAAATTCATTATATGCAAGGTTTTGATATGGTCATATGATAAAAGTTATGATTAGTTTAATATATAAACTCGAATTAATGAACTGAATTATTTTTAGGCAACATTATATAGTAACAAGTTTTAGATCACGATAAAACATTTATTGTATATCTCATTAATTTAGGACTTAGAAAAACCTATATCTTGAGCAAAAACAAAAAAATAATTTAAAAATTTAAATTAATCATCATCAAATATATTTTAATCATGATATTGGCTTTCGATATTTTGCCGAATGAAAAGACCCTAAATAACTGTTATACCCAATTAATTTATAAAACAGTTTTGAGTAAACTTTGGCCATACAACCTTTAATCAATTTTCAACTTCGATTAATAATATTAAATAGTATACTTACCTATATGTTTTTATTTTTTTAAATACGATTTTCGTTACAATTTTTTTAGATCCCGCCACATTTTGGGCGAGTATATTGTAATCTATACCGCAGTTGGTGCGGTCGCATTATGATTTGACGTATTCAGATAATGGGAACAGGTAAATCACGTTTAAGTATATTATATTACATTAGAATCATTAGATAGTAGATACCTATAAATTATATAATCTTAATTCATTATATTATTCCATACATATCGTGTAAAATTATATCAGCTATACTACGTATACAAGTTGTGGTTTCCATAATTATTTATTGAAATTTTGCATTTTTCCGTTACGTTTTAGCTCGCAATCTACGACTGTATACATATATATATATACAAACGATATATACACTAAAAACTATATATAAGTAGGTACCTATATTAAGTAGATACGATGAATAAAATATTTAAAGTTTTAAAATTAAATTAATATATATTTATATTTTAAACAATTAATTTTTTCTATGAATATTTACTGATTATGCAACACCAATATATGGATTGGCGTATAACTAAAAATATATCTGCAGCCACAGTCCATAATAATTGTGCCCATATTTATAATACTAGCTGGCTTATATATTGAGCTCGAATATTAATGGAAAATAGGTAGTTACATATTATTAAATAGTATACAAAGTTAAATAATTTATCAACTTGGTTAGTAAACTTGCTATGACAATAATWTAGTAATATTTACCATATTTATTGAATTATTTTTATTCTTATTAAAATATAGAGAATATATAGGAATTGTCTACCTATATGAATTGCACAATACTTTATAAGTTTATAACTTGATCAAGTTTATGATGTGTACACACTTTACACTGTGCATGTACATAAAAATATATCCATATTTTATAAATTTTTACTTGACGTATTACGCCTACAAAACGTATAACAGGATAGTGATTAATTACATCATTTACAAATAATAAATACTTCTTTATATTTTGAGTAGTTTGACATTTATATATAGTAGAGTATAAAATTAAATTATTATACAGTGCTTAAATAGATTTATTACGGTATATTCATAAATATTATATATATAATATATATACAAACTTAAATGTAAGGAATCAGAATTTCTTAGTTGTTAATTTGTTAATTCTAAATTAATCTTAATTGTTATAATTTTTTATTGTAATCTTTCCAAAAATAATTTATTATATTTCCATTATACTATTTAACTATAACTATATTAACTTTATATAACTTTATTTTAACTCGGTTATTATTTATTACATTTATAATTTATGTCTGTATATAACATCATTAATAAAATAGATGACAAAGATAAAGCAAACAAATTTGMGTTTAAATTTAATTTAAACATAAAAATATAAAAAATTGTAAAGTTGCCTACGTTATAAAGCTGTATTGGTAAATTGGTGTAATTTGATTTCGGAACTTGTCATTGACAGAACCATCATTATAAAAATTATAAAAAAGAATCTATGTGCAGCAACTTCATGATCTCGATTACATATAGTTAAATGCTATTTATACTATAGACACTACAAAGCTATAAATAATTTTATATAATGCTCTAAATATTTATTACATTTTAATCCTTAACGTAAAATAATATCTTTAAATAAAACATCGATTTGATACTTATTTGTATATCATAATTATTATACTTTTGAAATCATAAACAAAAGATAGTTATTTTTAAAAAAATATGATCAAAAAGTTAAACTTTTAGTATCTTTTATCAGTATGAAAAACTCTCATCTGAAATTGATTTTACGTCTTTCTATGTTGTTATTATAAGTATAATTAACTGGTATACAAAACATCGCATTATGAAGTCTATACATAAAAATCAATTTACAAAAAATAAAAATAATAAAATTGTTTAAACGAAATCTATCATACTCTTGGGTCAATATTGATGGTTTAGTATAGATATTTATTGATAACCATACAAAATGTATAAATCATAAAATTAATAATATATATATATATATATATATAGTATATATTTTAATATTTATAAGCGCATTGCCTATATTTCATCATGAACTTATTTTTGTGTACTTGAGTAATATATTAAACTTTGTGTTACTTAATACACAGATTAAATAAAATAATGTAATATTTTGCACATATAGCACATTTTGCACTTGATTACTTATATTGCACTTTCATATAAAATATAATCATATATATTTCAATGTTGAAAGTTCTCATAATAAATCCTTATAATTCGGAAAATAAGTTCTCTTGAAGCCGTTACTCGACAGTTCAATTTTTTTTATAATCAGTTGATCCCGTGGACAAATACACTTGGTCTCCTTAGAACCATTCGACCCCTTTTTAAAAGGATCGAAAGCACATCATAATCTCTATTATTGAAAAGTTTTGTTGACCTTTTTGTATCGTAAGCCTTTCTTTTTCGGTTGAACTCAAAAAGCCCGGAGAAGATTAGACATCCCGTTCAAAAGGTGAATACAAAAAAAAATTTAAACGGTATATTCGTTCAGAGAGCGCAAAGTTCGAAAAGCCTTAAAAAAAATGTCTTTTTTAGGATAAATAATAAATAAACCAAGAAGAAAAAAAGTTAAACCTTTAATCAATTCTATTTAGCACCATTATATAAGAGCACTGAAATCGCCATGTTTCCAATTTCAATGACCTCTTATATATAGTCCATAAATATTAAATGCCTTCACTCTTCACTGCAATTATAGTGAAAGTTAATTAAAGATAACTGAACAAAAAATATATTAAACTTAATTATATATAAATATAATTCAGCGTAATTATCATCTGTTTTATTACAAACTCTTGATTATTTACAAATATTTTTAGTAAATTGTACATCCAGGGTTAAGCTTATTATAATTATACATATGAAGAAATGATTAGAATTTTCTACCAAGTATAATAGTTTTAAAGAAATTTTCAGGAAAATTGAATAAGTGGTATAATCCATTTAAATCTTAAATCTTATTTATTATTTGTTATATTTATAAGCTTATAAATTATAAGTATGATAAGTAAAAAGAGAAGTATTTTGAATATTTTTAAATACATTTTTATTTAATTAGATACCGCTGAAATAAATTTTGTTTAAGCACATTATATCATATTTTTATTTATAGTAATAATAGTTGTACTGTAAAAAAGTATTGTATATTAATATCGTTTGACACAATAACATGTATAGTGTATATACTTATCATTGTATTTTATGTCTTTATGGGAATATTGATTAGAAATACTAGTGACAACGAAGCCATATTGAGTATATTATAAAAAAAAATTTTTAACTAACTATATAACCTTATTACCGCGTCACGGGATCATAAATTGTATTTTAAGAACGTTGACAGCGTAAAATCATGCGATTATTAAATAAAAGCTTCAAACTTTCATTTCTTGGATATTTCTAAAACTACTTACTTCACGTCTCTTCCCCCAACATATTATAACATTATATAACATAAGTAGGTACCTATTTGTAACATTTGCGATTATATTATTATTATTATTATTATTATTACTATTACTATTATTTTTGAATAAGTTTTGACATACACAGCGTATATAACTGCAGTAGCAGCAGCGATAAATATAATATGGTATAAACGCTCGACCGTGGACCGATCGCGCGACAAAAGTTGGTCGTATATAGTTGCCGCCAAACTGCCTCGGGCACAGCGGCACAGCTGCGTGTAATGTACTCGGCGCGTATAGCTTTTTCACAACAACGGTCCCGCAATGGCAGTGGCGGCGGTTGCGTTACATCCGCACCCTTCACCCATCGTATACTTTTGCTCGCGTTCCGACATCCATTAGCCGCCGTCGTCGCCACTACAGTTTCCGGCCGCGGGGCTCGCGTATATATTATATATTGCAAAATTATATGTATATGTATATATATACTTCCGGACGAAAAAATCGTCAGCAGATATGCCGTTTCAGGGACATCGGCGGCATTATAAAGTTAAGCGCAGCAACGCACCTCATAATCCGTGATGTGAAACATCATTATTATGTTATCGAACATATAGGTATAGTTACTATCGTCTAGTACATTCTGTGATTATAGTAATGAGAATATTAACAACAAAGCTTTTTTTCAACAATATAATAATCCGTAGTAATTAAAAATTAGAATATTCGTCAATATTGCGCAGCAATATCCTTATGTATCCAAGCAAAAGCTATGAGAATAGTTTATGTTTATCGAAGAACTTAATGTATAATATTATATATATTATAGCTATTCTTTGCGGCTTCGTTCGCTGCTCGCATATCAGTAGTTTTGTTAATTTAACTTCAAAAAAATGGTGAAAATGTTGTTATATAAACGAAAAATAAATATATATGCCAAACAACTATGCTCAATACCCTTACAGGACTTTTGTGAAATAAAAAAAATTACCCTGTTAACTTAACTTGTTAATGATTACCTACTTATAAAAACAGTAAAATATATATTCATAGCCAAAATTAAAAATTAAAACTTTGCTTCTGCACATTTCCATCCCCTTAAAGACTTAAGGGTTGAATTTCTAACTAATCCTTCTTCAACGATCTTGTTGACTTTATATCATATTAGAATGGTTATTTCGTTTCACCCTCTATAGCTAGGGTAGGGATTGATTTAAAAAATAAATTAGTTCATATTTTTTCTTAGTGTCTATAAGCTGTTTCCAAACCAAATTTCCAAATTTCATCAAAATCTGTTCAGTGTAGAACGTCATAGATAAAATAAGTTATTTTTGGGTTAGGTGTTATTATTATTACACCTATTGGTGCACCAAAAATATATATATATATATTATATATATTAGATTTAATTTAATTATTTATAAGCTGTATTAAAAGTTAAAAATAATGAGAATTAATAAAAATATACACAAAAGATAACATTTTTTAAATAAATATTTAGGTATATAGTTTTGTATAAGACACTTGACGCGCGCGAGTGGTATTTATAAGCGGATTCCGAAACAAGCTCATTAATAAACCACACGCCGAGCCCATCATACATCGTATAGTCGTCGTCGTCGTCTCTCGGGCGATATACAAACTATCGCCGCACTTATGCGTGCGTCATTATATTTAAGCCCGTCACGCCAACTTTTAGATCCTTCCGCGCCGCTGCCGCCTTCGTGGCGTATAGATATACATTATATTATATATATATATACAAACGTCAGCGATCGCGTCGTTTACGGTCGAGTACGGCATATATCGCCTTATATATAATGTTGTATATATATATATACACACACATTAGGCCGCGAAAGCTCCAACGCGTCACTTTTCAACGTTACCTACCTATACACTGCAACACGTATATTATAATAAAGCATAATAAAGGTGTCCGCGCCCACAACTTTTCAACCGTCGGTCGACGAAGGGAGCCGACGTGAACGCAGACGTCTCGCGCAAAGTTCGCGAGCGACTAACCGCGACTAATCAGCTGGTTGCCGCGCCATCACCCCTTCCACAGGCTATATGCGTGGTATAATATACGTATTATTTCGAGTTACGACGTAGGTATTATAATATACCCTGCCTACAATCTACACATCATAGTATTATAATTGTTCATTTGCCAACTGTATGACAGGTCGTAGGCTTATTTTTTTTTTTACTAATTTTATTCATAAATTATTTTATAATATAATACATTTATACTTGAGCAATACAAAAAAAATAATAATAATAGTAAATAAAACACATAGGTAGTAAAATGAAATAATAAAGATAATATTTGATTTAAATAATTAAATGTAGGTATTTTCTGTAAAAATAGAACTATATAAATAAACAGAAAATATGAACTCTATTAATTCCTATGTTTTTTAACGGCGTAGATATCAATATAATATATTGTATATTGACTTATTAATCGATATCGGTATTATATTATATGGACACCTTTCAGCCCCATACCTACTCGATTATTCAATTGCTTATTTGATTTTCTACATTTTAATATTTCACGGACATATTATTTTGTATAGATAATATAAACGTTATTGCTATAAGTACCTATATTACTTTAATTACGATATTTTCCATCTATATATATATATATATATATAATAATTATATATATATATATATATGTATATATATATTACATTTTGGTAATACAATTTGTTTACAATTGTGTACATGCTATATTATATTGTATACAGGTAGACTTATATATTCATATACAGGTTAATAATAGTTATACTATTAATATTATATTATAGTCAATACAAAATTCAATTATTTGTAAAAAATATTATTTTTTTTAAGTTTAAATTGATTGGAGAGGGGAAGTTAGATTTTTTAAAATCTACATGGCATGATATAAAAAAAGTTGGGAAACTCTTATTTAAAGAGTACTCAATTACATAACTCGTAAACAATATATTATGAAAAAAAGAACATATTAAGTTATATAATTTATTAATATGTGTTTATACTATATCTGCATCAACAATTTTCGTACATATTTTTGTAAATAAAAAAAAAAATGTTTATTTTATTAATAGGAGATCGTTTATTGGATATCCCGTGCAAAGTTTGTGGGGATAGAAGTTCTGGCAAACATTACGGCATTTACAGTTGTGACGGTAAGCGCCGTATAGTTAATTTTCCTTTGGTATTTATAAACTAACAGTTTGAGACTAACAAATGCCATCATTGCGTGTATTGTGCTGCTGCAGGTTGTTCAGGGTTTTTCAAAAGGAGCATCCACCGGAACCGGGTGTACACGTGCAAGGCACAAGGCGAACTCAAAGGCAGGTGCCCCATTGACAAGACCCACAGAAACCAGTGTAGGGCTTGCAGGCTCAACAAGTGTTTTCAGTCGGCGATGAACAAGGACGGTGAGTTCGTGTCAAAATTTATATTATATTATACTCGATTCCACCCTTTTTAAATAATATGTATATATACATACACTCACCACGCGATTCTGAGGTTTGTGTACACTTTTGTATAATTTTATAATGATAGATAATGTATAATGTATTATAGTATATCAATATATCATATATACTATTATGTTTGTACACACATTATCAAACCAACTTGCACATTTTAGACCATTTTTGTTTTATTCCAAAAACAAAGTGTATATTCAGTCAAAGTAATTGTTATGAAATAGTTATTTTGTAGGTTTCCTTTCCTGAGTATACAAATATATATTATATATGTGCGTTTATAAACAACCAATTGAAACACCGCAGAAGCTACTTCAACGGTGTCCCAACAAAACTGTTAATATTATGCGTACTCACGATTTTGCGGTGCCATATCGTGACAGATCATAAAATCAGAGGCACCGCGTCGTGTTTACATTGTATTTAATGTTCGGGAAACACATTTTGGTTTTGAATTAATTTCACATAACATATTAGACAAAATATATTATTAAATTTATGAAATTAATGCCTTTTATACATTATATATAATAAAATAAACAATAGGCATATATGCATATATTATAGGCCCATGGATGACAAATAATTTTGATAGATATTTTTAATTAAGTTTTTTAACATAGTGAATTTTAAAAATACTTCCTTTTGATGAAATGTTCGCTTAATCGAAATATTTCCAAGAACTAAATTCTATTTAACGAATTCTTTTATTTCTATACTTATCTTATACGACTTTTTTTTTTTTGCCCATGAGATTACGTAGTACAGAAATTGCACTGTATGTATGTTATGTAATACAATAATAAAATGACAAAAGAAAATTGTGTAAGCATAAATGTATAATCATAAATTATGTATATGTTGCTTATAATGTTAACTTTTAGATATGATAAAAAATAAAATAATATGATAAATATTAAGTATGCATAATGCATTATATCTCGATTTCTTATACCATTTCACTATCTGCCGGGATATTGCTAATTTATTATAGAGTATATAAAAAATTAAACGGTAGTGCAACGTTATAAAAATATTACAATATCATAAAATGTTGACGAAAAATATGGTTTTAATTTAAATTAATTGTTTTAATAAATTATAGGTAATATATTTTATAACATTATACATATTAAATTAATTAATATCGACAAAAAAATTAACAATGYACTGTAGAAAATTATCGAGCCACACAAAATAAGAAGGTGTTAACGATACTATAATAATTTAACGTCGGATTTCAACGTGTAAACCGACGGCTTTAACCGTTTGTATTCCTCGCTTTTTCTCCGCCATCCACCGGTCGTTAGGGGTTGACTAAAGATTTTCTTGCATCTTTTTTTTCATCATTCGTCTAATTTCTCTGGTATTGAATAATGACCCACCCCCAAACAAAATGCCTAGTTTATAATGTCGTTAACGCGAAGTCTTCAATCACGCCAAGCAAAACCTCTCTCTTAACTCTATCTCCTCGCTCTTTAATTCTTTTTCTCCTTACCCTTTCTCAGCCTTTRATAAATGAACCGCATTTTGTGCAAAAAGCTATAGCTCCACCACTGCACCGTAGCCAATTTTCAGCCTTCATTGAAAATTCTACAGCTATTCGCGCACCCCTCCGTAAATAATATATCCCTTTCACGCCTCTCAAATCATGTGTGTGTGTGTGTGTGTGTTGTATTTGGCTGGGATATATACGTGTGAGTTTTTGACAGCTGATAGCTGGATTAACTGACTTACCAACGGAAAAACAAGTGTAATATAGACAGAAGGGGGTCGATGACTTGATACAATTCAAATGTGCAATTCGGAAAACGATAGTCATTTAAATAAATATAGGTATAAGGAGTGGTTTCATTCCCGAACTCAATTGAAGTAATAAGGTAAAACAAGACATTTATGTACAACAAAAATGAGTGTATGTACATGTTTGCGCGATCGTTATAACTTATTATGTACGTATGTACGTATTATAAATACAATCTTTATCATTTATTACAAAAATATTAAAAAATATACGTATAAGTTTGTTCAAAGCATAAATAAAAAATAATATATATTTCACTATTATGCAAATCACTGCAAGTAGTTATGATATTAAGTTTACATTATATCAACCTACATACAAGACATTAGAACAATTTGAATAATTCGTATATAATATAATACAAGTACAAACAACTGTTTTTGRTAATATCAAATGTCAATATTCAATAATATATACGTTAATCTTTTTTTAATTGATAAATAGTTTCACTATTAAAAAGACAAGTTTAGTCGAACAGGTACATATTATATTGTATACAAAAAAATTATTGCAAACGTAAATGATCGAAAAAATAATAGTATGTATATTGTTTATAAGAATTTAAAAAYATAGGAGAATATTATTAATTCAATAACTATAAGAAATTTTGATAATTTAGTAATTATTTAGAATTATATATTTCAATTATTGATAAGCATTTATTATATTGTTATTTTTTAGATATATATTTTATTCATTTAGATTCTACACATGTATAATACAATTATGTTTATACAACCTATGTACAATCGACATCCGACGGGTATGGTCTAAAATATTTTTTATACCGCAGGTATGAGAAATAAGTTGTTTCGACTAAAAACAAATTGAATAGAATGCCCGTATGTCTGGTGATCGTTAACTAAAACAACAAAAATGTTCGTTTTGAATATTCGTGGATCAAAAAGGTACAGCGTACCCGGGATTATTTGATAAAAAAGAAAAATACATAAAAAGAAGGGTTTATTTCATACGGGTTGTTTTCTTGAGTTAAACATAAAAATAAATCATCTGGGCCACGTCATACTCTTGGATTTTGTTTAGCGTAACAAATTTGTAAAATCACAAAGTTTCTTATGTTACAACTTGCAAGTTTTCGTAAACCGGATGATGAAATGTAGGTTATTTAAAATTAAGATTACAAAAAAAATGTATAATAATAATAACAAAAATAAATAATAATAAACGAGAAAATAATAATAAAAAAAAGTGTTTGAATATACAAATAGCAAAAAGATCGATGTACAGAGCGCCTCCAGGGCCTCCCTGTAAATTKCAGGTTATTTAGATGATATATTGATATTATATTGATATCGGTGCGCTCAATGTATTATAGTTATGTATTATAACAAAAGAACTGGAGTGACAATGGGAACTATAAACGGGGAGACAGTTTTCAATCAGCAGTAAATATCCGTGAACAATTGAACAACCCTCGAACATATATCAACGTGTATAGTTATCAATGTAAATGTGTAATCCGATGATGAATTATTATTATTGCTTCCAGGTATTTGAGTATCATAAATTGAGTTTAAATGAATATTTTTACAGAATGTTTTTTCAGTCGAATCCGATTTCATAAAAAAAAAAAAATAATAATAATGGCAAATTCATGAAACAATTTATTTGAAAAGCTCAAATTAAAAAAATACATATTAAAACCAGAACAAAAGCTATGACACGTACAGTTTACAGTGATTTTCGTATATATGTATACAGTCTGTTCACCAATTTAGAGAACACTGAATAATTTCTCGGCCAGATAATATCGGAAAAAATCGAATTTTTTTTTACAAGCTAGTGGTACATAAATACACATTTTCGGATAAATTTCGAATTCTTAACCCTCTGGGTACGCGCATGCGCAACGCAACTTATATTTTTTTTTATATGTATAGCAACCGGTATTTTTGATACCAAATTCGGATATACTGAATTTTTTTAAGTCATTTTGACCAATTAACCATGGCTCTAAAATCAAAATTGACTGAATGATAGCCATTCAAATTTTAATAAATAATACATTTTTACAATTCATTACAAAATGCATAAAACCATTTATAATTATTTATTATTGGTTACTTTTTGAATATTTTTACGTATACAGTTGTAATCAATTTTAATCAAATAATTTTATATCCATATTTTTTTTTTTTTAATTATCCCGCGGCAACCAAGGCCATTGGGAAGGGGGTTGTACTGTTGGTTTTATGGAACGGTAGGTTGGTTACACGTGGGTGAGAGTTTTGGCAGAATTTCTATTGGGACACCCATAGGTTTCTGTCATGCCCCGGAGTGGAGGATAGCGGCACTTGTTCTCCGGACACCGCGTGCAGACTTGCTCGGAGAAAAATGTCGCATTCAAAAAGTAAACAATAATAAATAATTATAAATGATTTTATGCATTTTATAATGAATTGTAAAAATGTATAATTTATTAAAATTTGATAAGAATTCGATTTGTTCCAACATAATCTGGCCGAGAAATTCAGTGTTCCTTAAATTGGTGAACATAAGGTATATGTATATTATTGATAGAAATAAAAAAATTACGTAAGTGAGAAATTAAGGTAAAACCTGTAGGTTTCTTCAACAAAATCCGTGAAATCAAAATGTTATATTAAGACATATGGTATGATATATGCATAATGTAATTTGAATTCTAAAAATGGAGTTTGAAAATTAGGTATATATACCCAATTATTATGAGTATAGATTGAAATTACTTTGAAAAGAAAAAGGTTCTAAATTAAATTTGATTCAATGATTAAGTATTGATGTATAATAATTAAAGCAGCATCAGGATTCACGAGCCGTCCTTTTTAGTACCTATACTTTATAGTTATTTCATTTTCTTAGAACCATTATACTATTTCTAAACATTCGTAACCAAGATGATCGAATATGTATGAAATATGAATATTATAGTTTTAGAAGATTGGTATGTTTAGTTAAAATGACGTAGTTATTTATTTTATTTTTTATTTTAAATGAGCCTCAACAACAAAGGTTATTGGCCTTCGACATTAATATTTTTGTTCACAAGAATGAGTCATTAACAATAATATATACAAAACAAAGGTAATAGTATGAACAAAAAAGGATTGAGATATATCTAGGTTAAATAATTTGATGTAGTTTAGTTTGTTTTAAATAACTGATTAATTTTTCAATGTTGCTTGGCTGGGGACTTAGAACTTCTTCCAGATTGTCTTCTATGTTGAGCTTGGTTCTGATGTCGGTGAATTTACGGCAGTGGCATATTAGATGTTCAACCGTGGAAGTTTCACCGCAAGTTTGACATTGGTCAGGATCTGATCTGTTCATAAGGTGTTTATGGGTCACCCGTATGTGACCTATCCGTAATCTATAGTTATAATCATGAATACTTATAACTTCAAATTGTATATCCACCGCTAGTATAAATTCAAACTTTTGGTTATGACTATTATTCACGTGTTAATAATGAATATAGATACGAGTAAAAATTGTTTTTCTTTTGTCTATAACCTCTACTCAATCCTCCATTATTTCCAAACCAATATACTACCCCCGTAAAAAATAGTATTATTATTGTTATTATACGCGGGATGAATGAGTGATATGCAAGGTGCGCATAATGACGTGCGGTTTCATTGTTATGATATATATTATAATAATATTTTAACTTTATAATATTATACATATAGCGGTGCAACACGAGCGAGGACCACGCAAACCAAAGTTGCACCATCACCACCACCATCATCATCACCACCCAATGAAGGATTCACCGCAGTCCACCGTCAATCACCAACGACCACCTGGTCAAATCCCGATGAGCGCCGACCACAACAATATGATCCAAAAGACGTCTTCGGCTTACCCGAAAACGCCGATGGACACGACGTTACCACCCATGCCAACTGCGCCTCCGTCGCAGCAACATCACCACCATCTTCAACAACAGCCACCACCACTCCCGCAGCAGCAGCAACAGCCACCACCACCGCCAACGCTTTTGCCACCCACGCCCCCACAAGGACACGTTTTCTTGGGGCAACAACAGCCACCGCCACCGCCCGGGCTCTTGCAGATACTCATGTCGGCCGAAAAATGTCAGGTAAACGAAATCGTTATGCGATATTTTTAAATATATTTTCCATTTTGATAAATAGTATAATAATTATAATATGAGCAATTAATATTTATTATACGTATTACACACCCATACAAGATTTAGGAGCGACAAAATATCCCGCTGTCACTGTCGCATTGTTTTACATAGACAATAACGCACACTTATACGATTTAAAAGCTCAAGTCTTAGGTTTTAATACTGTGTATATAATGTTTTTGGAAATTAATACAAAGTCTTATGCTTTCAATAAATAAACAGGTCAATCTTAAGTTGTTTTCGAATTATATACGATCTTATATGGTCTTCATCATTTTATGTAGTATATACCAAAAAACGGCACTGATCTATATGATATTATTATACAATACGAAAACAATACCATTTGATGGCATTAATTTATTTTACCTATTGTTATTGAATTAACGGCTGTTATGTTGAAGTCCATATATGCCCACATAATAATTTAACATTATATATGTATATTTGGTTACCTATATCGAAATTGCATATTTCATATGTATTGGCGCAACTAGGGGGGGACTTAGAGGGCTTAGCCCCCAAAATGTATTATAGCCCCCCCCCAATTTTTTTGATTATTTAAAATTTAATGATACAATCCTACATATACGTAATTAATAATAATATTCTTATCTAATAAATGTGATGGTGGAATTTTGCGAAGCCCCCCATGGCTCACATTGACTAAATTTATTTGTAGGGCTTCAGCCCCCCCCCTCCCCAATATTTTAGACCTAGTTGCACCAATGTTCATATTTGACGCTGTAGCGTTTTCTCTTCTGTGATATCGACCGCAATCGCTCAAACTACTTATACGGTGTACCTGCAATATTATAATAATATATTATAACATATACGATGTAGATGTCTATATACTTAAAAGCCGGGGAGGAGGCGTGTGACATTTGCATTTCGATTGTTGAATTTCGGTCGCGCTAATAGAAATATTTAACCAGATAGGTTCATACACCTACGTACGTGGTACGTGGTGCACATTGCAACAAATAATAAGGACATGTGTAATACACTACTTCTGGAGGGGTGTGTGTCGTCCTATAATATGTAATACACTGCTGCAGTGCAGCAGCGCGACGGAGAGAGGATGGCGAGCGGACCGACAGTGCGCGGACGAGGACGATGCTGAAGCGGRGGAAGAGTGCGCTCTCGCGCGATGAGTCAGTCCCCTCCCCAACAAAAAAAAAACGCGCGTGGACGTTTTGATGTGAGAACCGGACCACATGGTCCTCGCGGGTTTTAGCAGCAATCGAACCCTTTGTTCGCGGACGTCAAAGACGCCCTCTGGCTTTACCGTATTATACGTTTACTGCACACACGAACGCGTACGATCGTGTAAATATATATGTATAAATACATATATATATATATATATATATAATGTACAACGTTGAATGTGTGTCGAGTATTTTACACATCACATTGTGTCGACCCTCGGGCTTAAGCTCGACTTTTATCGCTATTAGCATCGGTGTGCGGCGGCGACGTGTGATGCGATGGCGATGACGAGCTGCTGCAGACGACTGCTATTATAATATATTGTAATATTATATAGGTACAAGTTATTTTATATTTTATATTCGGTTTTTTTTTTTTTTAATTTACACGCTGTGACTCGGAAAATTTGTTTTCATACCCACTTATATGTATATAATACACAAACATAATATGCGTATTAATGTATTATATTATATGGCTTTCCAATCCCCGATCGTGTTTAAAGCCAGTATTCCGTCGTAGGTATATATATGTAACTATATAATCGCCTTTTTTTTTAATAATATAAACCTATTATAAATAAAATTATTGGCTAGTARATACTTACTTATATTAGTCAATGTAATAGGCTCCATAATAGGAAATAAAAATATCTGTTATTTAAGTCCACAATATTGAAAATTTTATTATATTTTTCCAAGTCATTAAGTTATGAAAATACCTTTAATCATAGTTATTGGAAATTTTTTTTTCTACAAAATTGTATTGGGATATAAATATATAATTATGACATAAATGATGAGCTATGTATTGCATAATTACTTTAATGTGGTATTTTTTTTATCTTTTTCCCGCTCATAGGAATTGATATGGAGCGCAAAGATGTCAGAAGCTTCGTCACCTATTGGCATACCACAACCAACTAGTCCTCAGAGTTCAATGTCGTTGTCGTTGTCGCCAACTTGGGAAGTCTTACAGGTAATTGACACAACTTGATCGTTTAATCGTATTATAATATACTTATATAATTATATTGTTTGTCAGTGGCGCAGCCAGAAGATCAGAGAGATATTCCCCCATCCCAATGGCCGTATTTTTTTTTTTTTATTGATTTTATAGCAGAAAAAGAAATATTCATTGCTTTTATAAAAAAATTTCTAATAGAATGAAAGTTCTAGATTGGATACAATAATAATATTATATTATAAARTAGATATAAGAAATAATTATATAAGTGGTTTGCGATAAATTATTATAAATAAGACCATATTTCCAAATTCTTGAGATTTTTTGTACTTCTTAACGAGAGTACAGGACTCCTATAAAGATACAAACTTCGCTGTTTTCCAAATGAGACAACCCTTATCAATTTTACATTATTCAGTGATGGGTATTTTTTCTGAAAAATGACGAATCAGAATCAAAATTCGTAGCAGTAGTTTTATTTAACTTTGTGTTCTAATGGTAAAAGGTTAATRGTTATTGGTTTATAAGACATATAGGACTATATGAAGATTTGAAAATTTTAGGTATTCTAACAACATGTTATTTTAAAAATTACGAAACTTTAAATTTGAATTAATTCATTATTAAAGGAAAAAACTAATAGGTATGTAAAAATTGATTGTTTGGCATAAATAAAGAACCAAGATAATAATTGGTAAATCACCATTAAAAAATATTAAATCTTTACTGTATAGGTGAATAACTTATAAATGTACAGATGAACCTAATTTCTTCTGAATGTGTTATGATAAAAATTATTTTTATGTACTTATAATCTAACCATCGCAATTTATGAAACTTAGTTGCAGTTATAAAAGTGACACACAGATATTTTCAATGGGATTTTCAATGGGAGGAGTTATATAAAAAAATTAAATGTTATGTTTTTTAATTTCACTAATATTTATACATACATACATACATACATATGGTAACAAATATACCAAGAGGGTATACTATACACCCTTAACATCTCCTCCACCATTGTGTGTATGCCACTGATTATTAGTATAGATACCTTTATATTTTATTATTCTATAATAAAATATGTTGATTCATGTAGTTGTATAATAAACAGCTAGGTAGTGTATAAAATTAATATAAAACCTATTATTTTTTTTATATACAACCAATCGCTATAGATTTAAATGTAGGTATGTACAAAATGTTCTAATCATTTTCGTTAATACACTTAATCCTTAGTGGCCAATGACTAACACGATGTCGACGTACTCGACGTGTAATTYTGCATTCTTGCCTACCTGTATTTTTCTTTAAGTAATTATTCAAGTGGTATTAACTTTTCAGACTTCTATTTGAAATACTGTATTTAATATGTATTTATACCATTTTAAACGTAATATATTCAAATATTCAATCATTATGTTATAATTATCTACGTCACTACAATGAAATATAAATGTTTTGTTTTTTAAATGTTAGAAGTTATAAGTTATAATATTATAATTCATATATATATTATTACTCATGTTATCATAGACACCTATTAAATTAGTCATTACTTGTCATTCATCAATATCTAAAATGTTATAATAAATTACGCCATATACCTATAAGTAATGTTAAATTAGTCGATAGTTACTTGTTAACATATTGACCTATACATTTTAAGTATAATACACCGTTATATACAATTTGGGATTTAAAAATTCTGACAAATCAGTCAATATTGACATTTGACATAATTATATCGCACTTTCAATAATAGATGTACCTAATATTGACATTGRTTATATACTGTATAAGTCTGTAGATAACTGACGTTTCAACACATCGGGTCGATTGTATACGGACTGGGGTAAGGGATTATATTTTATAGGCGAGGGTTGACTTTTTGACTGCCCGCCTACTTTCCTGCGGGTGGCAAAAGGTGTGCCCCTTTATCCAATCGCTTGTTATTGAAGATTAAAAATGGCGACCTTGTACGAATACACTTTACAAATACATATATTTATACAATGCATGTTTGTGTTTTCAGTAATGTTAAAACTTAAAAGGATTTTATTTTACTGATAATCCTTATTTTTAAGTTTTCTATTATACAATTTAATTGACAAACATAATAAAAACGATTATCTAACGAAAATAGGAAAGCAATTACCTACGTAATAAAAAGTTTTTTTTAATTCAAATTTAATTTTTATTCTGTAAAAATAAAGTGAAACTTCCTAATAACGAACATCTATTTAACTACATTTTCTGCATACCTAACAAATTATTTTGAAAACCATGCCTTTCGTTGTGTGGCATAAACATTTTTTTTTAATATTAAATTTATATGAAATCTTGAAATATATAGCTATAATAGTAGGTATACTAATAGTTTATAGTTTCAAGTTATAAAAGTGAATAGKTATAGGTACTAATAGTTACCAAAATCTGTAATAGTTCATGGGGTACTTAATACYTATAGTTTTACCTATGAGTATAAATCTGTTTATAAATACTTATAATTTCAGAGACCTCGAACAGGCCTATTATATATATGCACTTATATTATGTCTAATGTTTCCATTTGAAATTTAGACATTTATTACTATTATTATGAATTTAACGAAATTGACCCTATGATCAATCACCACACATTGTTTAACAAAATGTATTAGATAAACACCAAATAGTATAATTTTCGGAACAATTCAATGTTTAACAATAGATGGTTTTTTTGTTACAGGAGACAACAGCTCGATTACTCTTTATGGCTGTTAGATGGGTCCGATGCTTGGCTCCGTTTCAGACCCTTTCCAAACACGACCAGGTAATAATATTATTTTCAAAATTGGTAATTATAATCAATTGTCTTTACGGGTTATAAAGGCTATAGCCATAGGTATATAGGTAATACTTATATAATATATATATTATATTCCAGTGGTAATATACACATAAAGTGTACCTATTCTGTATTCATGTGCACTAGGTACTGTACCTTCATATATTTATAGTGCACTAAATATTTTAGGGGCCAAAGCCTCACTTACAATTATTTTTTCATACATTTTTTTTTTTTTTTGTTTTGGCAAATTATAAATAACTTAAAACACCTTTTTCGTACATATAATATAATGAGCAGGTAATATTTAGCAGGGATAGTTTTTTTTTTCACACATCTCATCTACCCTACCAACCAAATATAATATAATTATGCATACGTCGCACTGATATAGCTTAAGATACCTACTCACTTTAATTAATTAATTTCTTAGAAATTATAAGCTATAGTTTAAAACTATGTGATGCTTATACATTCATATACGTACCTATGTATATATATATATTATATACAGATTACACATTATGGTGATTTTTTAACTGCTGCAGTGAACACTCATTAGGCACCTATGTATATTTCGAAAAGTATTAAAATAATTGATCGTAGACGCTCACATTTTTAAAACAAATTTTTTGAGGACGTCAAATCTGATTTCGTTTTATCTGAAATACAGTTGCTACTGCTACAAGAGTCATGGAAAGAACTGTTCCTGTTACACTTGGCCCAGTGGTCAATTCCTTGGGATTTATCACCACTACTAAATTCAGAGAAAGCTCGCGAAAGGCTACCAGCGGACGACACAAAAGTCAACAACGAAATGAAAATCATACAAGAGATATTGGCTCGTTTTCGGCAACTATCGCCCGATGGCAGCGAGTGCGGTTGCATGAAAGCAGTTATTTTATTCACCCCAGGTGAGTGGTAAATTATTATATTGAATTCTGACCCACATTTGACGTTAAAACGTTTATTATTCCAAAAATATTTTTAGAAAATGTTATTTACTTTATACTCGATACATTTACAAATGTATACAATATTTACACACAAGTAAAAACAATAAACTATGTTGTTATTACATTTTGTTCATTGCAGTAAAAAATATTTATATGTATACTGCAATTTCCCATATAATTTTTTCTAAAAAAATAAATATATAGGTATAGTATACATAAACTATAATAAATAATATTAGTAATATACCTATCTACTTTAATATTACTATATTAATTAATAATTATTAATTATTAACACATTCATTATTTTGATAAAAAGCATAATGTATTATAACATGCATCTCATAAACTTAAAGTATAATAATATTATATATCTATAAGAAAATATAAAAAGGTATACCTAACTACCTATGTTTTTGTTTTACTGCTAATAAAATTCACTAACTATACTAATTATTTCAAAAGCTCAAGTGTGATGCCTTTTTTAAGTTTTTCGTCCAAAATATTATTATATATTTAAAAAATGCGTTTTTGTGTAGAAACACCGGGCTTGATCGACGCGCAACCGGTGGAAATGCTCCAAGACCAGGCGCAGTGCATATTGGGTGATTATGTGCGCGGTAGGTACTCGAGACAACCTACAAGGTTTGGACGACTGTTGCTAATGTTGCCCAATCTTCGGGCAGTCCGGCAGGCGACCATCGAGAGACTATTCTTCAAGGAAACCATCGGTGACATACCTATACAGAGACTGCTCGGCGACATGTATCATATGGAGAAGTCATACGCGTAGTTAAGTGTTTAATATATTATAATATAGGTACATATATATATATAGTGAAACTTCCATTTAACAAAATCTTCTGTTTAACGAAATACTTTTGAGAACGGAACCAAGTTTATTTACTTCTATTTACCAAAATTCTCTGTTCATAAAAAAAATTTCTTTTGCCGATGAGACTTCTTAGTATGGAAGTTTCGATGTATTACACTACTATACATATATTGCGTTGTACTAGTCTAAGTCTAAATAAATATGCCATAATATATAGAAGCAGTAGAATTTATAGTGTTATTAATACTATTGTTCTACAAGTTTATATACAAGATCTGTACCTATATAAATGTATTATAACTATAGGTATAGGCGTACTTTGTGCATTTGTACTAATTTTATACTTACACCTTTAAATGTATTGGGAATATAACATATAATTACACTTTAGTGCACTGAGTAGGAATATAAAAGGATATGCCTATTGCCTGCCTATAAGCTCTCAAATTGTGTTGTTATGAATAATTTCGAATTTTATTTCTCCGGAATTCTGAAATCTTTCAATTTATTGATGAAACTAACCAATTAATTGAAACATGTTTTTAAGTGTTAATATAGATAGGTATCATATTTGTAGTTTGCATATTATTTATAATATTTAAATTCGAATTTTCAAGAACTTCCTTCACTGTTACACACAAATAGGACTATGGGAGTACATTTTTCGTAGTTTTTATTTAGTTTCATCATGCCAACATCAAGTAATTTAAAAATTTCAAGAATAGAGAATTGGGTGTAATTATCTATTCCTGATTATTCTCAATATTCCAGTATTTGTCTACAACACAACTCGTCATCCGAGTTTTAAATATAAGTATTTATGTTATGTTTAACTTTTTTATTTTATTGAAATCAGCTAAAAGTTAAGAAATAATATGTGTAGGTTTACCTTACATTTAATATTTATATAATATAGTCAATAATAGCCGCGAGAACTTCTCTAGTCATGATTTATTTTGTTACCAAATCGTTTATATTACATTGTATTTATTATCATTATTATTTATTTTATACCTATAGTTATTACCTTGATATTTGATATGCAATATGTACTTATCTGTTTAAAAATACTCTATATTATTTTCATGTATGTACTGCACGCGTTGTGTATCTTAAATAAATAAGAATATTGATTAAACTATTGAATTTTATACAATCATCCTTATAGTTTTATTAGCTTATTTACAAATATAACTGTTTGCATACTTGTAACTTGTGAGTTGTAAGATAATAGTTCCTATACGTTTTAAACAATGGATTTTTGTAATTCGATAAATTAAAAAAGTCCATTAGTTATGACATTATGTACCTACTTTACTTAKGTCCTCCAAATTGAAATATTCAATGTGTATTGCAAACACTTACAATAATTGTATATTAACATATATATATATATTGTATATTATTTATATTTATAAATTAACRATGTATTATTATAATTCATAACCATTTACAAATTATATTTGAACACGTTGTTGTTAGAAAATTAATCTTAAAAGTAATTTATGTCCTCATTCTATCTCATATATTTTATTTTCTGATATCTTATATTCAATTGTCAATGTTACTTAATTTTTAATTTAGAATTACCTAATAAATATATACAAAAATATAGTCATTATTGCAACGTTTTCTATAAATATAAACATATATGATGTATGAATATATTATTATACATATATATTATAAATGTTCCAAAATAATGTTTTAATTGTACTTATTATTATATAATATACCTATTACCTAATACTACCTAATATAAAAATATTATGATTTATTGTTGTTTAATGTTTAATGTTATGTTGTAGGGACCAATACTCGACACAGTAGATCTGTATTAAGGTACAGTAACATTATATCAATGAAATATAAAAAAAGATTGGGTCCCTGGCGGYCTACTTGACTATCAAATCTATACTCATATATAATATGTTATATAACTTATATAGGTACCTACGCCTACTTAATATAATTATGGAGGTATTTGCCACACACATATCTTTTATTATACTCTAAATCATACAATACAAACCAAGAAACATTTACTTTCACTACATCTGCTTACTTAGAAAGCTTCAACCAAAATGTCATGTGTAGGTTGTAGACTTTTGCAGACGATTGAGATAATATTAGAATTATTTCCGAGTATATCGATAGCAAACTATAGTTTTAAAATATTTTAAACAAATGAGTTACCTACATATAGTCACCTATAGGTACCTGATGATTAATACATACTTGTTACATACTTATATACATTAGAAAAACCTATACCTAGGACCTATGGGTAGTATATTGTTGTATTGTGTGTTGACTAGTTGCCCCCCACGGCTGTTATCGGGATTTTCAAAATATACCTGCAGTTGCCCTCGACCAAATGTACCAGTTGCCCTCACATGTTAATATATACACGATTACAATATATTGCCTGTAAAATAGGAAAGGTAAATATGCAAATAATAAATATAATTATTTATAAAAATAATGTAAAATAGTATAAAACGATAGAAATAAAAAATTTATAATAAATAATATAGTTATAATTTATAAATTATAATGATAAGTGGCATATTAAATGTGATAATTTGTATACAATTATAGAAAATATTCATATGCTAATATTAATTACCAACAAAATAATATGAAAAAGTCAATAAAA